CACCGTTTCCGTGTGGGTATTGGTGACATTTAAATTCCAGTACGAGTCCATGGCATCAAACGGATTGCGAACAAGCATCACAGCCCGATGTCCCGTCACGATTTTCCATCCCGTCCGTTCGGGCCAATGCGTCTTGACAAAACACGTTTTTGTGCGGTGTGTGACGCCTTCGCCCACCAAATTGTGGGCTTCTGCCAGAGCTTTGGAAAGAGTGCGATCTGGTCGCGTGTCGGAGCCCGTGACAATGCCGGTAGTCCGTTCCAGTAAGGTTCGTAAGAGTGTATTGCCACTGCGGGGATACGACAAGAGTAATGTCACACCACGGTTCTGCTGGAGAATGGACCATGGGGAATTGTTGTTGGGAGGTGTGCTAATATTTGATCCAAAAATCGAAGCAGTTCCAGAGGTGGCGGAAACGGAAACTCCAGCAAATTGTTGTCATCTTGGTCTTGCTGTGGCTGCCTCATCGTGCAGCTGTTGTACATTTCTTCCCATTCCCAATTGGCTCTCCGAACCGTTGATAATCCCTTGCTAGTAGCAGCACCCGTAGCAGCGGCCCCATTTTTACTGCTGTTACTATCTCTTGACAATGTTCGCCGTTTCAATCGTCTCGTGTTGAGTCTCTGTAGCAACACTACAGGATCTTGTACGGGTGACACTTGAAATCGATAGCGTTGTTGGCGCTCGGCATTTCCAGCGCGGCGCCATTGAAACATGGGCAAGATTTGCTTCGCATACTTCTTCTTGGTGAGCAGCAACCTTGTTCCATCCACCTCTCCCAGATACGTCAAGACTATAGTTAGTGGGTAAAAGTCCAGCGTGTCCATCGTCCAGGCTAGAATGCCGTCTTTTCTTTGGTGTGGCAAGGCGAATAAGACACACAGTCGCAGCAACGTTATCAAACGTACAGACTGTCCTTCCATCGAGACTCGGGTGTCAAAAAGCCAAAATGCATCGGAAATGGTCATTTCGACATCCGAAACTAAATGTACGAAAATGGATGCGTTCCTGCCAAGAGCAGAAAAAGAAAAATCAAGAAAAGATTTATATGAACCATCCTGGCAACAGTATTGTCAAACATAGGTCCCTATAGCCAGACCCTACACAGTAGCTAGTCATAATGCCTCCAACAAGGATTTTGGATCATTCCCACCATGATGATCTCCTGGGCCACCATTGTCATTACCCTGCGGATTGCCACCAGAGTAACCTGGGTTGCCGGTGCCAACATGATCTGCTACCGCTACCTTGTGGAGACTCCTTTCATGCATGCTTTCAATCCATGGGAGACATGCCATGCGTGTTGGAGCAGATGGCTTCACCTGCGGTTTCTGACATTGGTTGCATAGAGGATTAGCATTGGATTTCCTCTTTGACTGCTCCTCCAAAGGCACAAAGGCTGGTCTGACTAGCTAGTAGGGATGGCTGAATCCACGGGTTTGGGACGAAATGGTCCACCTAGATGATGGTGGAAGACACAGGTGGAATGGATGATGGAATGTGGTGGGTTGTTGTGGTTTGTGTTGTGCCTGCTAGGCTAGCTTTACCAATACAGACCCATTGCTAGCTAGCAGGAGTAAATCCCGAACACGCTCACAGACTCACCCCTTAAAAAGAGTTGTGTCGAGCCTGGAGTGCGGGCTGGATTAGAACCAGGAGATGCGCCATGGGCGGGGCTCAGTGTGGGTCCTTGTGATGCATCTATAATAAGTATCTACTGGGGGCATCCTTAGCGGATCCCACCACCAAATCATTCGCCGTTGGGATGGTCGAGAACATCGCACGAGGACGTTTGGAATGTGATTTCCCCAGACAAAATCTTTCCTAGTTGGTTTTACTCGTTTTTGTTTGTTTTGAGTAAGCTGCAGCAAAACTTGCCCCAAGTTTAGTTGCCAAATCCCAGGCCATTTCCCAACTCGTTCGTCAGTGTCTTGGTAATCAATGGATAGGATCTGTATTCAAGTTGGAAAAAAAGACTTGCTCCAATGTACCGTCAATGTCAAATTCAACATTACCGCCAAAGGCACCAATGTTCAGGGATATTGAGTCATAGCTGATGCTCACCTCCTGAAACTCAATAGATTCCGCAAGGGAGGATCCGAGCAGAGCGAGGTTTGGACTGTCTCCCGCAATTCGGATGCGGAAATTCATTGCAGGATTCGCCATGGCAATGGACCCTGACACCGACTCGTCAAAACCGAACAAGCATGCATCACCGCTGATGGTTGCAGATGCTCCTGACACCAGCCTATCAAACGATGCTCTTACTACCCACGTTCCGTCCCAGGTGGCTCCACCTAGTCCTCCCCAGTTTAGTTCAAAGCGCTCTGTGCCGGGAACAAGTTCGAACGTCTCAATCTCGAAGGTTGGAAGACCTTGGAGTTGTCCAACAGAATAGGAAAGAGAGCCGCCAGCTTGGCAAAAACCAAAGTCGATTTGACCTAAATCCGTAGTTTGCTGTATATCGGAAAGCGGAACGTTGCCGAGTGCTATTTGAATGGAACCATTCAGAATTGGCATGAAGAAGTCAATGACAGCATTGATGGTGGTAGCCACCAAGGAAAGGCTCCTCCTCCTCCTTGTTTGCGGCTGTGACTGCTCATGATTGTGCTTACGAAGATTGGAAGCTCCTTCTACGTAGGAGCAAACTAGAAGAGCGGAAAGGAGTGCGATCTTGGCAGCTTGGATCTTCATAGTGAGTATATAGGTATGTGTTCCTGGACCGGTGGTTGGTTTGAATAGTAGTGTTTGAAAAAGGACCCTCTGTCTTGCTTTTATTAGGCGAGATAAGATTCTGAATTATGAGCCCACTTCTTCCAAAACAAGCCTTTACTTTTCCAGAAAAGACCAGATTTTCTAGCTAGCTAGCTAGCTCATGTTCATGGTATACTTAGCATTTACATTGCCTTGAAAGGCAGCTCAGTGGCCTTCATGACGGGTCGAGCCGCTTTGATCATGACTTCGGCCCCACAACCGCATGCGTTCCAGTGACTCCTGCGCCAACCACGAATGACATCTGATGCTGTGTTCCCAAGCCCAAAACTGCAGGGTCCTGTGTGGCAACCGGGTAAAATGGCAACAAGCCAATGTCGTTGCGTGTACAAACAACACCCAGCCAAGAGAATGACTAGCTAGAATTGTAGTGGCAGGACCCAAGCCTCGGCTTGCTGGCACGGGGAAGGACTTGCTAGCTAGCTAGTTACTAGCTAGCTAGTAGAGAAGCTGGAGTCTTTGGATTTATATCATAGACCAGGGAGACCAAGTTGGTTGGTCAATTCTATTCGCACACTTAGCCAATTATATTCACACACAACCATAATAGATTGCTAGCTAGTAGCAACAATTAGCTTGCTGCCTAGCTGAGCCAGAGAGAAGGCGAGGGAAGCACCCTACACTTTGGGTGATTGATTCAATCATCCCTCGAGGATCTTGGGAAGCGAACTCTCACCAGAAATGGTTCTCAATCACACGGCTTCTCCTCGCATCCTATGGTGCAAAAGAGACGACGATGAAGTTTGAAAGTCCACCATCTACCGAGTCTGTTTTGATTCTTTCTGGCAGTACAGCCGTTGCTGTGGGCCTTGGAATGTTTGTGTATTGGCGGTCTCATATCAGTGATCGCGACGTACTTCAGCGGACCTTTTGGGACGTCGTGTACGACCAGTTTTCCGCATGCTACGATGTCGTGGATTGGTTCACCTTTGACGCCACACATCGATTGCGAAAGCGAGCTCTAAACGTAGCCTCACACACTGCAGAAGAGAGTTGCTGCTGACGAAGAACGCACGAGACCTATTTCGTATATTGGAATTCCGTGATTGGCACCGTTGAGACTGATGCATTTGGAACTTGCCAAGCTTCCTTACGAGAAGAAGCTGGCTGGTCTGGATCTGGCTCCCGGCATGAAACGACGTACACAGCAACGTTTGCAAGGACAAGAAGAATCCGATTTGCGGATTGGAGATGTTACCAAAGGACCACTCCCCTGGAACAAGGAAAGCTTTGACTATGTCCTTAGCACATTTGTGTTCAGTGCCATTTCCAATGACAAAGCTGCCATTGACGAAATGGTCAAAGTGTTGAAACCAGGCGGGAAACTCATTATTGTAGACGCAGGAGTGGCACAAAATCGCAATGTCATGTCAAGGTTCTTGGCTTGGTTGTGGGAGGTCATGGGTGACTATATGCGAGATGAAACGCAGTTGTTGTCCTTGCGAGATGACATTGAGTCTGTCACGCGAGAGGACTACGGACCTTGGGGTTGTGTGCATGTGACTGTGGGAGAAAAGAAGAAGTAGTAGCATGATCTTCTCGCTAGAATGGTAGAATTTTTAAAAGTAAGTTGCCCCCGTGTAGCTTGCCCCAATGCTTGCTTTTCCCCTCTTGTCTTGTTCCAACCGTAGCAAATGCAGTAAGAGAATGTTGTACACATCCGCTGGCCCCGGGTCGCAAGAATGCAAACAATCTTGAGAGCGATTGACAATGGTGCCAACATGTCCATCCGGTCGTAGAATGTTCACGTCATAACCATGCATAATCTGAAAATTCAGCTTTGCATCCTTCTTGTCTTGCTGCTGATTGTTGTTGTAGTTTTGAAATTCCTGCAATACCAACTGGGTTTGTCGTTTGAAATCCCACCAGCCATATTGTCCCATCTTCCCAGGATACCGCTCCTTGGAGTATTGAATATATTCTTCCATTTGAGTCAAGTTGTTGACTGGTTTTGTAAAATTCCAACATTGGTGATGGCCCGGACTGGTGGTTCTCCAAATGGTCAAAAAAGAATCCCCTTGTCCTTGTCCTTGTCGCTGTTGATGATGTTTGGCCAGTTCTTTGACAATCCATTTAATGCCAGTTGTGTTGGGTCGATTGCTAAATCCATCAATCAAGTCCGTGTCCTTCATGTAATGAGCTCCACCATTGATAACCAGCACATCAATACTGTATTTTGCCAAGAAATGGTCCACATACATCATGTACCGGTTTCGGAAGAACGCAATCTTGGACTGGCCATGGCAAATGTCAAAGATCATGCCCTTTTGTTGATCATGCTCAATGCCATCGTCCGTCGTGAAACGCATCTGATCATGCGCGCCCACGGCAATTTGGAATCGCGCGGCGAGACTGGAGAAATGTTCCCATGTCAAGGAATCCCCAAAGAATCCAATCGTCTTGTTGTGGGAAACGCGGCAAAATTCGTGATTGGAGAATTGTGGTTCAAATTGGCAGCTGTCGCCAGAAGAAGACTGTTGGTGGTAGGCATGGCTGGCAAATGGATACCACCGATAGTCGGTCCAGGAGGTGACTTGCTTCAAATACTCCTGCGTGTAGCATTTGCTATGAGATGGAATAAACGGGGGTCGATCCAGGATCGAAGGCCTCCATTCTCCACGACGGAGTTCCTCACTGGTACACAGTCTCTGCGTGCTGCTGGACGTGCTTGGAGATTGTTGTTCCGTTGTTTCTATTGCTTGGTTGGCACTCAACGCCGTCTGGTTTCGTACATCGTCGTGGGAACCTGTCGCTGTTGGTGCCAGCATGGCAAATCGATGACGAACCGAGTGCAGTGCCGGGTGTTCCCGAAACGATGTCAGCAGAGAGGCACTCACAACGACGAGGGCCAACGACGGCCGCCAACGTCGACTTCCATGACCACTCTCTAATAACGCCTTTTTCCTCTTTCTTCTTTTTCGTAACAGTGATGGCATGGTTTGTTCTTCTCTACTGTCTGGAAGTCAGTCACAAAGGAGTTGCACAGGGCTGGAGATAGTCTGTTTCAGAAAATAAATTGGCTAGAACAACCAGAGGAAAGGTAGGTAGGAATGGAAATAGCAGAAGGAGGAGATCAGATCGGTGCTAAGAATTGATTGACTTTTTTTATGTGGAGGGTTGTTGGTCAGTTGCAGCCGATCCATCCCATGCGCCAACAGCGGCAACAGCGCGAAAAAAGTGAGGTGCGCTGTCGGCTTTTTCCGAGAAAGGCACGTGACTTTTGAGACCAAATTTGGTCATCATCTCTTTGGCAACAAAAGACAGCGTGAGCTGCTAAACATGCCCAACCTCTGTTGTTAACCCAGCTACCCAGGCGAAGCCCAAACCATCAGTACCGGTAGTTGAGGTAAACATGAAATTTTCATTCCAACACCCATACATCTCGAGCTCACCGATCACCGAGGTAGCAACGTTGTGCTTTACAATCCAATGCACAAGTGATTGTCATTGCCCATTACTCGAACCCATCAGAGCTCCACCATTATCACCAACCATGGCACGTTTTTCGCACTACCACCATTTGTTTCTTTTGTTTCTAGTACTGGCTGTCACTGCTGGGCCCATTTGGGGACAAGAGGGCAACACAGATGACAGTGTCCACTATGTGAAATTTGAAGTGCAGCTGGATGCCGACACCACCGACTCGTTTACCGTGCAAGTGAACAACAAGTGGGCTCCGTTGGGTGCTGCCCGCTTTTTGGAGTTGGTCGACCTTCCCTTCTTTGCACAAGTGCGCTTCTTTCGCGTCTTGACGGGATTTGTGGCGCAATTTGGAATTTCGGGCGACCCCGCCGTAAGCGCCGTATGGCGTGACAAGACTATTGCGGATGAACCCGTGATTGCGTCCAATGTCCGTGGCAGTCTCACGTTTGCCAAGGGTGGACCCAATAGTCGGACGACACAGATCTTTGTCAATTTGGAAGACAATGTGCGATTGGATGATATGGGGTTTTCACCCTTTGCTCAAGTCGTTTCCGAGCGAGATATGAAAGTGGTGGAGAAACTCTATGCGGGTTATGGGGAAGGGGCACCCAGTGGGAATGGACCCGACCAAAGTCGGATTCAGTTTGAAGGAAATGCCTATTTGGAGAGTGACTTTCCTTTGTTGTCGTATATTTTGTCCGCCAAGCGAGTGGAGAAACCGGCTGATGTATCATCGGAAAAGGAAACAGTCCAACAACTCTCGAGTGGTAGTGCCCCAAGTGGAAAATCGTGGAACACGGGTAGGAATATCCGTGAGCTGACAACTATGTTTGCCGCAGGAGCGATTCCAGCCCTCTTCTTCCTGTAATGCAATTTTGGTAACGTGCCAAGGTCAATCCCAGGGGCGACAAACGTCAACATTCAACAATCTCCCATTCAGTTGTTCGAGGCATCTGACGGCAGACGCAAAGTAAAGGAGCAAATTCTAAAGATTATATCGAGGTTTTGAATTTGTGCAATCTACAGTACGAGTCGATCATCTGTAGCTTGTCCACGAATACCTGTCTTGTGCAACAGTCTAGACTTGTGCGTAAAATTTGGTGAGTAGTGGTTTGGAAACATGAAATCTCTGAATCGAATCCTTTGCTCTTTCACGCCATCGGTGGCAGTCCGATTCTGAGATTGTGGCTGGCGATTTTTGAAAGAGAGGAGCTTTTTGTTGCGGGTGTCGTAGATCATTTTCAACTGACCACTTTTCCTGCAGCTGCCTGCTTTACAAGCTCATACGTGATTATTCTCCCGGTCAGCAACATGTACAGTTGTTCCCGGAGCAAGCTGTAACGGACTGATAGTGGTAGTCTACCTTCAAAGACAGGATGGAGTGACTTGGGGTACCAGCAGAGGCAGGACGAAGGATGGTGACATATACATCAAGTAAGATTGCAGGGATAAGTGGCTGCAACTCCAGAATCCGCGAATGCAGCAGGAACGGTCTCCTACTAGCTAGCTACTGGAATCTAGCTACCCAGAGAGTAGTAGCTAGCTAGATAATCACCAGGGGCACATGAACTCTTAGCGCTCCATGACCAAGGAAGATGTTGACAACATCTATTCACTCAACTTCCCCCCGCTAGTACACGTCATGGTGCACTTCGGCGTCCCTTCAAACAGCCAGCTTGCTTGCGAGTACAAGGACGGAATACCAATTAGCACTGCTTTGTAGGAATGCCCAGCTAGTGCGCACTTGCAAGACGCGGAAAATGCTGGCCTACCTACCGCACACTTGATCAATTCAACTCCTCTGAGAAGCTCCCAAGTTGCTGTAGTTCCATTTTGGTTTTAGTTGGAGTTGACACCGAAGACCCGGGTGGAAGAAGACCCATGTTTCCACGATTTCCACCGTGGCAGCATTCCGTCAAAATTAATGCACTTGTGTGAGGACGTAGTTTCATCTCTGTAGAAACTGTACCATGTTCTACCAGCACAGAAGCCCATTATTTGCATTTTCCACCAGTTGCATCACCCGGCTCAGATTCACGTATGTAGAAACAGTACCAGAAGATATCTTTTGCATCTACCGGCATCTGATTCTACCACGTACAATCCTTCCTCGTCCATCCAAAATCTAATCGGCTTCCGAAAAAGCCATCACGAGAAAGCAACCCTTCTTTCTCACAAAAAATATTTGGAACAAGTTCCAAACCAACAAACAAAAGTAAATTACTTCTCTCCCTTTTATCATTCAAAATGGCCAAACCCAAGCTCGTCCTTGCCTACAGTGGTGGATTGGATACTTCTGTGATTTTGAAGTGGCTTTCCGAAAAGGGATTTGATGTGATTGCTTTCTGTGCCAATGTTGGACAGCACGAAGAAAATTTCGATGCCGTCAAGGCCAAGGCTTTGAACTGTGGAGCCATCAAGTGCGTTGTCTCTGATTTGCGCAAGGAATACGTGGAAAACTACGTCTTTGATGCCATCAAGTCCAACGCCATCTACGAAGGCCGATACCTTTTGGGAACCAGTATTGCCCGCCCCTGCATCAGCAAGGAAATGATCCGCATTGCCAACGAAGAGGGTGCCGAATACATTTCTCACGGTGCCACCGGAAAGGGAAATGACCAAGTTCGCTTTGAAATGTGTGCTCAGGCTTTGAGCCCTACCATCAAGTGCGTCGCTCCATGGAGAGATGCCGAATTCATTGAATCCTTCAAGGGACGCAAGGATTTGTTGGCCTACTGCGAAAAGCACGGAATTCCCGTGGATGCCAAGCCCAAGGCCAACTACTCTGTCGACGAAAATTTGTTCCACACTTCTTACGAGTCTGGTTGCTTGGAAGATGCCATGTGTGGACCTGATGAAAGCATGTTCAAGATGACTGTCTCCCCCAAGGCTGCTCCTGATACCTCGGAGATTGTCCAAATTGAGTTTGTCAAGGGTATCCCCACCAAGATTACAAATATGGGAGATGGAACGGAAATCACCGACTCCCTTGAGCTGTTCTTGTACTGCAACAAAATTTCTGGCAAGCACGGAATTGGACGCATCGACATTGTCGAGAACCGATTTGTTGGAATCAAGAGTCGTGGTGTCTACGAGACTCCAGGAGGTACACTTTTGCGTGCTGCCCACATGGACCTGGAAGGCATCTGCGTTGACCGTGAGGTCAAGCGCATCACCGAAGGATTGGCCAACGAGTTTGCCCGTCTTTGCTACAACGGTTTCTGGTTCGCCCCCGAGATGGAATTGATCCGTCACTCCATTGATTTCTCCCAGAGAGATGTGGAGGGAACCGTCGAGATTGAGCTCTACAAGGGAAACGTAACCATCCGTGGACGCAAGTCCCCCAAGGCTCTTTACAATGCCGATTTGGCATCCATGGACATTGAAGGTGGAGGTGACGCCTTTGACTACAACCCTGCTGACGCCAACGGATTCATCCGCATCAACGCCGTCCGTCTCAAGACCTACGCCGCCCTTCGTGCCAAGGACAATGCCTAAAAATATGCATTGAGCCAAGGAAATCAAGGAAATCAAGAAAAAGAAAGAACGAACAGAAAAGAAAAGAAGAAAAATGAAGAGTGAAAGATACCGAGTGTTGTGATTTTGCTTGTACGGTCCTCTTTTAACAAAATTTATAGTCACACTGAAAACTACAACTTGCTTGCCCTTTTTCGTTGCTTCCTCCCAATAGTGTAAGTTTTGCTGGCTTCTTCATGCTCTTCGCTCTTGTACTGAAGAAAGATTTCTCTGACACTTTCGTGTACCCCTCCTTCCCTTGCTTCCAGCTAGGATTCGGCAGTTCCCCCTTGGTATTGCCTGCTCTGTGTACTTGCATGATGATACCTTCGCTCATCGAAATGTTCCATTGAAACTGAAAGTTTTGTGTGCTGCTCTGTGTTGTTGGTTCTTCATGCGGGGGTGCTGAAGGGAATGATGATGTGGCAATGGAATAAGGAAGAGGGTTGGAGTTCGGTAGGGACAAAGCTCATCCTTGTCCCGGGCAGAGGAGTGCTTTCCGTCGTCAGGTTGATCAGTACTCTCACTGCTTGCTTAGGCGTTGTCGGAATTTACTTGTTTAATCAGGGGAGGAAATGAAATGTCTTGGCTGGTGTAGCTGGTCGACCACGCAGGAGTCGGATTCTGAACTTTGCTCTTTGACCTTTGCTTGCATGCTTCTTACCCTTGACATTGTGCAGGCCGTGGGCCCGTGTTTTTTTCTTGTTGAACCTTGTTTTCCTTACAGAGCAGACTAGTTTCAACTTTGGACCTGAACAGGGTGTTTGCACCAGCCATCCGCACTCTTTCTCAACTTCTTGAACCATGGGAAAGGTGTTTATCAACAGACTGTCAAAACGTGGCTGTGTACACACGGCAAACATCCGTGAACAACATCTTGACAGATGCTGTGTACCGAAACTGCTGCCTGACAGGTTGCTATCCGACAATTTTCAGCATTCTTGGTAAGAATGGTCAGTTCTGAGCGGCATCTCTTGGGAGACGGAACTGCACGTGAATCCTCAAGCGGAACGGCGGCTGCATGTTTTTTTTTTTGAGGGCAGCCTTGGCAGATGAAACTTGCATCCACAGCGAGAGCCTTTGACGGAATCACTTCAACACTACGTGTTTTTCGCGGGCAAAGCGTAAAGTGCAGCAAGGGTTCATACAGGCCAAGGTTGTTTCTGTGGAGACCGAGCAATTCGGACGACCGCAGCGATGCGGCCCTTCAAATCGCAGCGACCAACAGCCTGTCTTCACCTGAAATGGATTCACTTTCTCCGCAGATGGTGCTGCTCTTGTGCTGTGGGTGCTTCACAGGGTACTGAGGGGAATGATGACGTGACAATAGAATCAGGACAGAGATACTGAGAAGAGTTGGAGTACGGTCCGGTAGGGACAAAGCTCATCCTTGGCTGTCCCGGGCAGAGTGCTTTCCATCATCAGCTTGATCAGTCCTCTCACTTCTTGCCTCACGTGTTGTCGGAGTTTACTGATTTGATCAGGGGAGGATATGAAATGTCTTCGGTAATCCGGTCGACGCTGGAGTTGGATTCTGAACTTAGCTTCTGACCTTCGCTTCTTGCATGCTTCTTGCACTTGACATTTTGCAGGCCACGGGCCAGTCTTTTTTCTTGTTGAAATGTTCTGTTCCTTGCAGAGCCGACTAGTTGCAACTTTGGACCTGAACAGATGTGTGCACCAGCCAGCGCACTCTTTCTCAAAATCCTTGAACCATGGGAAAGGTGTCTATGCACAGACTGTCAAAACGGGGCTGTGCACACATGGCAAACATCCGTGAACAGCATCTCCTTGACACATGCTGTCTACCGAAGCTGCAGCCTTCCCAGGTTGCCATCCGACAATTTTCAGCATTTGTAAGAATGGTAGAAATGGAACGGGGCGGAACCACATGTGAAAGCAAGCGGAACGGTAGCTGCTTGGGATTTCATGAGGCCAGCCTTGGCAGATGAAATTTTGCACCTACTGTGGAAGCCTTTCACAGAACCACGACAAGTGTTTTGGTGGGCAAATCATGAAGTGCAGCAAAGGTTCATCCAAGGCTTCTTCTGAGCAGGCCGAGAAATAAATTTGGACGACCGTATCGATGCTGCTCTTCAAAACGCAGCAACTAACACCCTGGCTTAACCTGAAATGGCTTCACTTGCTCTGCAGATGGCCTCAAGATGAATCGACAACCCCAGGGCGAAGTGCAAAGCACCGGGCGGGAAGCCGTGTGTTGTGGCAAGCGAGCGAGTAATTGGGTCAGCTGCTCAGTGAACCCCGGTGGTACGCGGGACAGGAGTCGACCAACAAGAGCTTTGCCAAAGTTCCTGCGACAACACGCACTCGGCTCGAAACGCTCGCCCTCAGTCGACATGGTGTGTTGTTTCACCCTATACCGGTATGAGTGCCCCCCCGTTCGAAGGGGTATTGTACGTGTAAACAGCAGGTAAAGTTGCTTGTATGGAGCTCGAGTAGACTAGAAATTGCAGTGAGTTTTTTGTGTGCTTCGCTTTGAGCTCTTTTGAACGTTTTCCTTTTCCTGCACTAACCTTGGAAATACGTTACATTTTGGTTGATGCGTGGTTCCAACTATCAAAACAAGAGTGGTAATGAGTTGTCTTTGTTGAGGACACAATGGGTTTTGCTGCTTTTTGCAATTCTGAGTCTCGGTCTGGTTGCCTGTCCCAATTCAAGAAATTGCGGTGTTTCTGTTGCAGGCTCTGCCCAACTGATGAAAGAATCGCTCCATCCCAATGCGACCCGAGAGGATTCCGAAGACACCCACTGGTTGTTGCTTGGCTGACCGACTGCGGTGAAGAACGAGTATCAAGCAACAAAATGACGCCACACGTGATTCTAGAAAAGGATTACGCAAATTCAACCATCATCGCTCTACGCTACAGTACTGTTGGGGTCTGCCTACATGACTATATGCCCCCTGGAAACGAGGGAGTGTTGAGTTGTTTTCTTGATGTATTGTTGTTTGTTCTCGGAGTCCACTTCTCTCTATCGCAGTGGGAGCGATGGATTCTGTGGGCCTAATAGCTAATGAATCTTCTCGACCTTCTTCAAGATGGTATCGGCATCCAGATCTTCCAAGGTATCAAAGACACTCATGGTCTTTCCAGCCGCAGTTTCACCATCGACCGTAACTTGGGCATCACCGGACCACTTCAAAACCTTGTCCTTGGAGACCTTTTTGAGCAATGCCTTTCCAAAGTCGTCCTCTTCTAGTTCGGCCCCCAACCAATTGGCGCGTTCGGCCATTGCCTCAAAGGGGCTGGCACTGGCATGCACACCATTGTCTCCCGTGTTTGGTTTGGACTTGAGTCCCAATGATCGGTAGTTATCCAGAATGGTTCGACGAACGGAACCGACGGGAGCGGCAGTAGGATCAGTGGCACCCAGCACTTTACCACGGAAATCTTCCCATGACAAAGTGTCAGTGGGCCAACTGACAGTGTACCATTGGATCTTTTCACCGGGGTTGCAATAGGCAGCTCGCATGCTATAAAGAACAATAGTCGAAAGTGACAAAAGTAGAAACACAATAATGATGAGGCAGGTGATCTTTTTTGCAGAAGCCCTTGATCTGTCTATCTAGATGTGGTATTCTTGTTCTCACTTACCTCATGTAGAATCCATTCATGACATAGATATCATCGACTTTTCCACAGTAGAATCCTCCACCGAATTTGATGAGTGTCTTTCCACGGCTGAGTTTCCCCCACTTGGCATTCAATCCGGCGGAATCGACACCCAACTTCTCCGCACCATCTTTGGCATTGTAAATTTTTCCGGCCTTGAGAGCATCGTCCCAGGATTCACCAAATGCTTTTTGAAAGTCTGCCTTGCCCTTATCGGGGACATTGAGTGCGGCGGGTTGCAACTTGACGGCCTTGCTGGCAATGGCTCCGTAGTGAGTATCAATGTACATCTTCTTGTCAATTTCTTCCGCCAACATGGACCCCTTGCCGGTAATGCGAATTCCATTCTTGGCCAAGGCATCTTCCAGGACGGCTTCGACTTTGCCAGGAGTTCCCTTGCACGCGTGGGGTTTCAAAAAGACAAAGGCACTGTTGGTCTTGCCGCTCAGTTGGACTTGCAAATCGTCAATTTGTCCTTGCAGTTTGCCTTGAATCTTGTTGGCTTGATCCGTGGCATTGGACGCCGAGTAGGCCGCGGCGACTAGGGCAACTCCGGCCAAGACCATGGCACCACCGGCACCACCATTGTTGGCCTGAGGAGCTTGCGAGGAAAAGACGCGGCGAGTGGTGGATTTCTTTACCACTGCTGTGGTACGACCCGAAAAACGAGAAGTGGCTTGACGAAGGGCACCGCGAGCAAACATGGTGGTGATGTTGATGATGACTGAATAAAGAAGTATGAGAGACTGGAGAAGACTCAAAGAAGTGGAGTTGTTGTGGAGATCGGAGTGTGCCAACCAAAGATTCGAGGCCATCAAAGAGACGATGATGATGTGATGACAAAGATTGGATCTTCGATGAGGGGTACGTCATCGACAAAACTTCAATTTATCTCTAACCCTTCGAGGCGGGCTTGAGAACTCCACGTTTGCCAGCGCACACACAAAAACAATGTGCCACCCCACACCCCACACCACCACAAAATTGGTATTTGAGAAGTGGCCCACGACAACACGAAAGAAGACCAAGAATCTGCATTTACTCAGTACCCTGTCAATACTGCAGCACCGCCAGAAAGGAATCAACCATGGCAACACAACAACAAGAACAGAGAAAACGAAAACGAGTGTGTCTCTTTGGAACTTCGGCCAATCCACCCACGGGAGACCAAGGACATTTGGGCATTGTCAAAGCCATTGCGGGTCTTAAGCTGCAAAACGAAGAAGAAAGCGCATTCGATGAAATTCGAGTCGTACCCGTCTACAGCCACCCGTTTGCCAGCAAGAGAAAGCTATTGGCGCCCTTTGACCATCGCGTACAAATGTGCCATGTATCCCTCCAAGGCATTCCCATTGTAACCATTTCTCCGGCAGAACAGGACATTTATCAAGAGAAACTTGAACAGCAACAACTACTCCTAAAAGGAGAATCAGCAGAAAACAGTATCAGCATTGGCACGGCCGATCTATTGGAATACTACAATCGACAGGATGACATTCCCACGGATTATACCCTCTGTCTGGGGGCAGATACCTTTTTGGATTTTACGGGTGGAAAATGGAGGAGGACACAAGATATTCTGGACTTGATTCAAGGACGATTCGTCGTCTTGTTTCGACAAGAAGATACTACGTACAGTGGCAAGCAAGAGCCAAATCAGCAACAACAACTCGAACAAGCGGTTGCCAAACTAGAAGGAACTTATGGAAGTGGTTCCATTCGATTGCTGCAAGTGCCAACCTTGGGAGCCGTATCTTCTACACTGGTGCGAAAATTGAGTCGAGAAATGAGCCAAAGCGAGGACAGCACAGGCAACACGAATGCGCAAAAACTCACCGAACAAAATCAACAACAACAAATTGCCGAACTCCAGTTGAGAGAAATTGTAGATTCCAGAGTGCTGGAGTACATGAAAGAACACGGCCTTTACGGGTTCCAGAACGATGCTTAGCTACGGTATGTGTAGCGGAAAAAGAGGAAAGAAGCAAGTTCTTGCTCGAGTGATGCATTGATGCTGATACACGCTACCCGTTCGACTATGGTACGATAACAAACTTACTTCTAGCGACAAATACTGCTACTACCTTTAGGACTACCGATAGACTCGCTTGTTGATGACACCACCAAGTAGACAAGGATCAAAGGTGGGAACACCCTTAGAAAATCTACATGTGTTCGGTCTGAGTGTTTCGTAGCCTTCGTGGCTTACTTGATGATTCACGGAGCCAACGGGTTTCTCGACCGTCTAGTCCATCGTGTCTGAGGTATGGTGTCCTCCCCCCAGGCTCCGGGATAAAGAAAGCTGCAGAGAACTATTTTCTGCTCCCACTGGTATATGCCTGTACTCTACTCCAGTACGCTGTACTGTATGTAGACTAGTACTGGTCAGAAGGATTTTTCTGTACCAAAAATAAAAGGAATAAAATTAATTTTTTTAAAACATACTGTACTTGTACCGGTAGATTTACTCAAAAGTACTCCGAGTGACGCGACAACAATCTATTGCCCCCAAAACTACTGTACTCCATCTGACATCTGACATCTGACCACCGAGATCTGAGGCCTTGTGGAATGGTTCCATTGATTGAATCGAATCTCCCCTTGCAACTGAAGCTGTTATCTGGTACTAGCTAGTAGCTGGCTGGTAGCTGGTACCTGGAAGTACCGGTAGACTAGTAGTCTCTCTTTGACAAGGCAAGGCCATTGCCCCCAAACACCGCATTGCCTTCCAGATACTGATGCAATCATGCAATCATTCACTCATGCGGCTGATTGAATCAATAATTCATGCCATCCACTCTCTGACAAGGCTATGGCCCCCAAACACCAAGTTGGGTTCTGCATAGTACGGTAGGGTACTCGTATTGATTGAATCAAATCTCGCTGTAGCTCACTCCATCAGATTCTGTGCTCTGTGCAATATTGCCGAATCAATGCCACCCACTCTCTGACAAGTAAGGCTCATAGGTACAGCCAAACATTACAGCCCGACCTTCGACGATTCTATGGCCCCCACCCCACAGCCCACAACCCAAGACACCCCACTGGGTCCGCATTGCGTTCCGAATACATGTACTACACTACGACCTGCCGTACAGCGTACTCCTTTTGACTATTAATAGTCAGGAGTATCCAGCTTGAGATCCAAGGCCTCACATGGCATGATTCCAATTGGATTCAACCTGGGAAGGCTATACACTAGTGTACTGGTATCCTCTCTCTGACAGGGCTATTGCCCCCAAAACACTGCATTGCGTTCCGAATTCCAAAAGATACCGTTAAGGTACTCCATATGACTATATGAGGCCATAGCCTAACTACTGAAAGTCTAATTTTGTCCAATGTCCACGTGATGTCTAAGCTTGTCCGTCATGATCAAGGAAAATGTTCGCAGCTTCCCTGAAGAATTAATACTTTTCTGCGTCAGTACTAGTAGTAAAGCCAATTTTCACTGGGGCATAGAACTGCCCCCCTTGTGATGCTTCCATAACTTCCCATGTATACCTGTAGCCTTGCTGCGGAGCACAGGCCACCACAACACTCACAAGATGCCCACCAGCGGGTGGCTACTATTGCCGTAATTTGCTGCTCTCAGTAGCTACTTTGCTTGATTTATGCTGATGCTTCACGTAGGTAGACACCACGGCCCTTCTGGACATGGTACACAGGACTCTTTGACCTTCTTGCTCCATTGGGATCCTGGTTGCCGGTGGAATTTGAGGCTTCGCAGAAAACTCAAGCCTCCTTCCCCAAGTTTTCCGAACCGAATCGTTTGGAGTTGCTTCAAAAAGCCAAGCCAGAATCCACGAGAAGGTTTCTCGATCTCATGAGATCGAAGAGGGTATTCAGATCGTAGAGTGCCCCCCTCTACCAACTCTAGTAAACTGGCAGTGGCTACCTAGCCAGAGAGCCAAATGCACACGGCAAGGAAAGACACCTCCAGCAAGCGGATTCCGGCTCGTTGGTCTTGCCTCGATGGATGCTGTCCCATGTGTTCCATGTACCTGAGTACCGGTACCGCACAGGTTTTAGCTTACCACTCTATTCTCTTGAACCTGCCAACTGCCAAGGCTGTTGCCATGTTGCCATGCCAATCGAAATTCGCACTCTGCTAACTGCTAACACTCGATTACTCGGAGAACGCTGGCCACTTTATTAACGCTTCCACTTCTTACATGTATTAGAAAGGCTATTAGACTACTGTACAAAAATATTTAGGTGTTGTCGTGTTGTCGTCCTTGTGCAGGTTGGCTTCTCTGAGATCCGCGGCATGGAGAAATTCTGTTTACTAGTACCAGGTCTACAGTACGCGTACAGTATGTGCTGATGAAGGCTCATGGCGTACTCAGTACGTACTGAGTAGCTCTGAGTACTGCTACCGGGGTAAATAAGAAGGCTTTTCAACTGCACTCCGTAAATAACAGCAAGCAGCAAGCAGCTACCGCTGTAAAAGTAAGTCATAAGTCTGAAGTGCGACGTTGGGTTCGTTTACTGAGTACTCGAGCAGGTTTTTCTGGGAAGAACAGTTTGAAGTTTGAAGCACAGCCGAGTTCCCTTCGCTTCGAGGGTTGTTCTTCGCGTGACACGAACCTTTTTTTCGCGGTCTTTTCCCTCTTATGCATCCAGCGTAGCCGTATTGTAGGTTCAAGGAAAGCCCAGGATGGAAAGAGGAAAGAGGCTGCTCTTCTTTGAGGAGAAAGCGTTGTGAGAAAGAATCAATGAGAACATGCAAGCAACGAAATTAGGTGGCGACTGCCACCTTTGCTACATGCTATCATACATGTAGCGTGTAGCAATGGTAGCTGGGTACCGGTAGGAACAGGTATGTTAATAGTACTGGTGATTATGTAGATGTACGTGGCTGGAATGGCCTCTGGCTGCCTTTGTTTGCAAAATTCGCTCTATTGCAAAAGATAGGCTAGAAGACGAGAAATTAAGCGTGGTGGTTGGGCACTGGTTTAAAAAATTAAATTTACATGCATACCCTACCACAGCAACAACATCGTACTCGTATCCGAACCGTTGGGAGCTCATGCTTCTTCGAAAGCTGCAAGCTGTGTTTCAGGGAGCTGTTTCCAGTCTGATGCTCCAGCCACTCAGGCACTATCGAAGTTTTCAGACATCATCAACCAACCAAGAGTTACTATTCCTCGCAGCTCCAGTTGCTTCGTACCGTCTGTTGTCTACCATCGCAGGTCCATTCCAGCATTCAGAGCTTCCACAATCGTCACCCTGGCCAATCCAAGGCCTTTAGAAGGATACTCAAGGTGCTCAAGGTCCAAGGTGCAATTTGCAAGGATGGCAGATGGCAGTGCCTTTACCACCACAATTGCATCCGTTGTGTCAATTACCAGAGTAGCTCAGAGTCTGGCTGCTAGCTAGACAGCACACCTTTCTGTCGCAGACATAGCGGACAAGATTAATTTTAGTAAGTGATCTTCAACGACGAAGGGCTGTGGCTGAAAGTGGGTTTCTAGGAGTCGAAGAACACAGAACACTGAGACATCTCGTATAAAGAATGCACTTGAGCACTAGATCTAAGTCAGACCTGACTGTCCCAGTAAAGTTTTAAAATAAAAAAGTGGTGCGGATGCATTTTACTGCTGTTCCACTGTGGCACTCAAGTTCGTCATGGATCATACACACTTCTTCGGTTCCCAAAGCAACGAAGCGATCGATCCCACCACCGTACCGTTCACCATTC